TTGACGAACATAATGCTGGGGAATCAATAACTCCTATCTAGTAGTCCTTCTGGGATTGGACCAACATATGTACAAATTAGTTTTGTTCATTAAAATAAATCACAGATGATAATTTATCTGTGTTTGTACTAACATCGGTCGCTTGCTCATGCTATACGGTTAATCGATGTCACATGCCCGATTTGTAGACAGAATGAAACCGACTCCAGTGGTGGTGAACAAGGGTTATCGTCTCAGAGTGCATGCTTCATTCGACTATCGTTTCATTCTCTTCAGTCTTCACAAAATTTGTTTACAAACCTGAATTGGTGTTTGAACATGCTCCATTTGTTCCAACATCAAAACTTAGCTTTCAAGTATTTTACACATCTCTTTTCCATTGTTCCTGGTTATTTCTTAGATACTTGATTGTAAAACGGGTAAAAGTTCGGACACTTACGGTGTCATTACCCCATAATATAATCTGCAGGACAGCTGGTGGCGATGGAGAAAGATTGAAAGTAGTGAAAATAAATTATTTAGACCAATCTTCAAAGACTGTTCTTCTTTTTTAGTTGGAAGAACGGGTTTGTTCGAGAATTTGACAAAGTAGTCCGAGTCAATTCAGACAGATTAAAGAACGGCACCGAAAGAGTGTGATTATGACAAGGTAAATAGACTGAAATTGACTTGTATGGATGGTCTTACTTGGCAGGTCTCGCTAGGGCTAACTTCCATTCAAATTCTTGCATGTCTATTCACTTGCCGTGATATGCTGGTTGCTGAACGAGTCCATTTGACCAACGGAAACAAATTTGAAATTTCTGCAGCGAATACAAACCAATACTTCAGAAATAGGAGTGATGTTCGTTGAATCGCGGCGAATTCTGCAGCGGGGTGTTTCATGGAACGGAGAAGCGACACGCTGTACGCAATGAAGATGATTGCATTGGATAGCGCTGACCGTTGCGCGAACTTTTGGGAGATGGAGTTTGCGCAGGAGATGACTAGTTCTGCAAGTGACTTTTGTTTCAGTTTTATTAGTGTGCTTTCATCCGTTCAAGTCGAATTGCCGATTTGTTGCGACCGACCTCCGGCTTTTGAACATAAAAAGGGGGTTTCGCTTGATACGCGTTAAGTCTAGGTTTTTAACCTGCAAGTGATTTTTATCAAGGAGTCGCCATTAATCGGCTTGGGGTGCGTCGATTAGACACCCAAGTAAAGTGACGGGAGAATCACCCTACTCTTACGAATTAGAGATTAAGGCTCCGTTCGTTTGGCGGAAAATATTCTCCTTTTGGAAAATATTTTCCCGGAAGTCATTTTTCTGGAAAATGTTTTCCCGGAACATAATTTTCCGGTGTTCGGCTACCAATATGAAAAAGTTTCGAAAAATATTTTTCACCGGCGATCGGCGGCGGCGGCGACCGGCGGAGGTCGGGCGGCCGGCGGCGGCGGCGATCGGCGGCGGCAGCTGGGCGGCGGCGGCCGGCGAGCGGTGGCGGCGGGCGACCGGGCGGTGGCTGGGCGGGCGGCCGGCGACCGGCGGCGGCGGCGGCGGCGGCGGGCGGCCGCTGACCGGCGGCCAACGGTGGTGACCGGCGATCAACTTCCTCCCACGGAAAATATTTTCCCTCCCATGGGCAATTTTACCTTCAATTTGGGGAAAATGATTTCCTCTTTGTGAAAAGAGGAAATCATTTTCCTCAAAACAATGAAGGATTTGGGGGTGGGGAAGGAAAATGTTTTCCCTAGGAAAACATTTTCCGCCCCCGATCACCGGAAAACGCGGAAAACATTTTCCGGAAAAATATTTTTCCGCAAACGAACACAGCCTACATGAGTTCGGGAACTTGGTTACACTAGTTGGGTAACTAATGCCCTTTTAGTACATTTTTACCCTGTTCATTTCAGAAAAAATTTGTCAGGCAATTTGAATTGATTTTAGGACCTTTCTCCTAACATGTGAGGTGATCAAGCAAGTGCACAATCATTACGATTAGCAGTCAAGATAGATATGCAGCCTAAAGTTCTAACCGTAACTAAGGCGATAACATTCAAAACATGACAATTTATGTAATTATATTCTAATTAGAAACAACATGCATAATAATAATACAACAGTAGTAAAGATAACATGCAAAATCTTACTGTATAACTCTATAGGCTTATTCAATTTAAACATGATTATTAATCAAATAATTCACCTAATTTAAAAAAATATTCAAAAATACTAATTGCTAAAATATTTCCTAATTTTAAAAGAAAATTTAAAAAACGAAATTTTTTTATATTTTTATTTTTTAAAAAATACTATTTTTTAATAAAATATTAATATAATATTAAACCGGGTCGGGTCAAAATCCGACCCCGGGTCAACGGATCCTACCTAAAGAGTTGATCCAGGTCGGATCTTTGGATCCGAACTAGGTCAGGGGGTCAACTCGGGTCGGATCTTCGGATCTGAACCGGGTCAAGGGGTCAACTCGGGTCATTGACTTGGGTCATGAACCAGGTCAGGTCGGATCCCGCATGCACAAGCACGCGGGGACGCTGGCCGAGTGAGAATCGGCCTCTCTTCGGCCGATCCAGGCCGGCTCCGGCCTAGATACCACCTCCAGGGACCACCACCGAGCCTCCTCAGCCACCTAGCTCGCCGTCCGACCACCTACTTGCCGGCCGGCAACCAAAATCAATTCGGCCTCACTGAGGCATTTCATCAAATACCTGGTGTGCACAACTAAAAACGGGAGTTTTTGACTTGTTTCGGGGTTCTGGCGTCCTCCGGCAACTTATAGTTACCTTCGGCGACGACGTATGGCCTGTAGGGAGTAACAGTATAGGCTGCGATTCGCGCGAAACAACCGGCTCGAGTCCCGGCCAACCGATGAACCAAAACAGGAGAAAACAAGGGGGAACGGGACCAGGAGAACTTACCGGTTGGAGGCTCGCCTGGGGGGTTTTTGGCTAATCCGCAAGCGACAGCGGAGCTGCTGGGACCTACAAACACTCCAAGCCTCCTCTCTTCCTCTCTATTTCTCTCATATTCTCTCTCAATCTCTCTCTCTTTCTCTCTCTGTTTTTGCTCAAAGGGGCTGACAGTTTCTCTCTCTTCCTCGCCCACTTATATAGCCGATGCGGGCCACCTACTTTGCCCCGGAAGTCATCGCCTTGATGGCCCTGCACTGGCCTAGCCTGTGCCACGACTTTGGTGGCCAAGGTTGCGCGGTGGAGCACATAATCCGCGTCGTCCCAGGCGGCCGGTCGGGGCAAGGGAGAACAGAGGAGAGAGGAGGAAAGGCTGGCCATGGGGGGGAAAGGTGAAGCGGGCTAGGCCGAGCCTAGCTCGCGCGTGAGGGAGAGGAGAAAAGGAATCGGGTTGGGCCCACGCGAGGGGAAAAAAGGAAAGAATCGGGTTGACCCGGCCCGACCCGATTTTTTTAATTTTTTTAATTTTTTAAATTTAATAAGAAAATATGCTTCAATAGGCTCTATTAATGCAAAATGTGCCTAATGTCTATATGCAATGCAATTAGATAAAAATATTTTTTTATTTTAGGAATTAAAGAAAATCAACTCCTAAATTTTGTGCAATTTAATTGGGCAATTAAAAAGTAGGTGTCTATACTATTCCTTACCGCGATTCTACTCAGTCGCCGTTGTCAACATTAACACCATCAAGCGTTTGCAAATGCCCGTCATACTGCAATGAATGCTTCGATAGAGAACACCTGAACACCTAAACACCTAAAACCCAATTGCACGCAACAAACAGTGACCGACAACTGAGTCTAGGCACGGCTTGTCCATCGCATCCAGGATTGACTCGCCAATAGCCTCAGCGCTTTGCTTCAATCTCCATCACGACTCGTCCGATGCCATGTTCAAAGGCAACACATGTTTTCAAACTGAGAACAGACTGAACAGACTGAATGCTCAGAGAGAGATGCGAGAATCCTCAGAGACACCAGTTCTCGTCCCGAGTCAAGCCTTTGTCAAGCACAAAGGTTATGCTAAAGAGGCTGACCTTGCTGCTTGTTCGGAAGTAAAATGGAATGATCAAGCAAATGCAAGTTAGATAGCTAAACACCAACGGTGATTCGTCGGACACTGAGACGGGAGCAATTGGTTGAGGCTGTTAGTTCGGCATTGAGAATTTTGAAAAGATATTGTGAAATCAGATGCCCGAGCTGCAATGTTCTTTGTTTCAAGCTACCGGACAGCCTGGTTTTGTCCTCTCGAGCCTATGGTTCAGGGCATCATAGACATATGTTGTGAGGTATTGAAGTTCCTCTTTTAGTTCCCAATCTACAGTGTCTACGGTTCTGTCCAAATCTCTCAGAGTAACAGTGATACGTTAGGACAGGAATTTTTTTCTCAAGCTACAGATTGGCAATAAGATCTACTTCCCCTGAATAATCCAAAATCAACCTGAATACGAACGAATTCCATTTTGAATACAGTCAATACCATTATAGTATTTTGGTGCTCCAAGGAGGCCCTATGGAGGATCGGACTTGGCCCACTAGATGGTTGCCACCTCACCTCTCTTCGCTATTGCCTTTTTATTATTTTCTCTTTTTCATCTTGAATGATAACTAATTGTCAAGGAAGAGCACTTTGTCTAATATATGGATGCCTTTCCACCTCACATAACTTTCGCCAATAATAATCTAAAAAGTCTATAACTATTTAATTTGTTAATATATGATCCAATAATCTTGTGATATAATCACATTTTCTTTTGCATCATCATCCGTTAATTTCATCTTATTTGGATAGAATTACATAGAACAAAACACAAGAGCGAAAGATTACAAAATAATCTTGAACAAATCTTGAAGTTATTGTTTCAAGTTAATCTAGTTATGTTAGCTTCATGAAGCAATTGGACGGACTACATATTCTATAGAGCTTCCCTAATTTATCTATCTCCAAAATAATTTGATTTGCTTCCTCTATATTATACAAATATGATATCAAATTTTTTTGATGTTTTAGCTTAGATAAATCCTATGCTCTTTCAAAAAAATCTGTTATGCACTTCAATCGAAAAATGTAGTTTCTCTGCCGTGCATAGCACAGGCCTTATGGCTAGTTCTATAACAATTATAAACATTGATATTGACATTCAATCACCTTTACAACATGTGATGAAATAACAGATTTGGCTACAAAAGATTCCAAATCTCCCAACCATCAGTACTTCAGTGATTGTACAGGAGCCATTGCATGCCAAGGATCCACTAATTCTGAAAATTGGAGATCACACCAGATGCATGAGCGATACGGTTGATGGAGCTATTATAAGAGAAAATATGACACGTATAGAAAAAAATTACTGAGATAGCCTGATTAATGTACCACTCTAGGGCTGGAACTGGAAACAGTTGCCAATAAATTATGATGATGATGATACAAGATTGCTTAGTACTCTAATGAAGCATATTGATGGAAAGCTGAATTACTGGAAGAGGATGTTTTCTTGCAGTTGATCAGATGGTTTTCAAGATGCTAACCTCCAACATGGGATATCACCATGAGTGAAAATTGGTAGTACTACCACTGAAACACAGCTTTTATTTTTTACACAATCGATCTTTTTCTCAAAAATCTGTGCCGGTAAAACTCTTCAAAGGACAGGCGGTTCACTGCAATAATGCATATCGAAGAATTAATATTACAACTCATTTCAAATGAAGCTGAGACAAGGCAGATACTAAACCTGGATTAACAGAGAGAAGCCTGGAACACATGTCAATGCAGTCAGGATGCAATTCAGGAAGCACATGGTGAGAAAATGGAAGACTTTTAGATGACTTGATGCTCCGCAGAAGCTGCAGAGAAGAGAAACAAACAAATTAAGGGAACTTTTATGACCGGGTTCAACAAGCTTAAACAAGCTGTTGCTTGAGGAGATAATCCTACCTGAACATTAGTCCGCCCACAAAATGGTGGACAACCATTGAGAAGCTCAAAAAGAATGGCACCGATACTCCACATATCCACCTGCAGCAAATCATTCAGCCTAAATTCTTTCTTCTTGTCTGTTTCCATTTCTTTTTCCTGAATTTTGTGTACATCCTACTGGTCTAGATGGAGACCACCATTGCCACCCCAACCAAGGCCAGGATTTTGATTCTTGGCCATGACCTTTGGATAATGCAAATCTCATTCCAGGTTCGATTATGGATTGACACAGGAATCTCATACCTTTTCATCATACTTTTTGAATAGAAGAACTTCAGGGGCCATGTATAATGGAGACCCACATACAGTATCAGCAGAATAACCGGGTTGTAAAGTTCTGTTCCAAGGATACCAATAAATCTCAAAATTTCACCTCAAACATGCAAGCAATTGCCAAATTGAATTCTATAAAATTTCTAGTACATTTGCGTATACCTTGAGAGACCAAAATCAGCTACCTTGAGCACTTTATCCTCTTCAGAACCAGATAGCAAGATGTTCTGCACATGCGGTGACGAAAAAGGAAGAGCAGAGATAAGCTCATTTGAAGTTTAAACAATGACATGTCCGCAACTTAAACTCTCAAAAACTAGCATCGAGAGAAAAAAAACATAGTTGTGTCTGAAGTTATTGATTAGAAGCAGAGTGCTATATACACTGCTTCACATGCTAAATTATTGAACAGGGGAAAAAAGAATACACAACCAGCAAAACAACCAGAAATCAGTCAGAACATATTTCAATGTATCAATTGAGCACTGAACTCTCCCTCTGAGCAGCAGTCTTCACAAAACAAGGTTATCCATATGCATATAAGCAACAATTAGAGTAAATAAAAAACACAATCAACAATGAGGCATTTAGCTTCATGCTGAATATTTGCCTAATTATTCCAATGATCACTTGGAATGTTGAAATGTTTAGAAGGTAAGTGCAACTAAAAGTAACCAGTCTATGAAAGTACCCATGGAAGGGATCATCGTTGAGTTGATCTAATTGGTGAGCCTAATAATTCTCATTAGTTAAGCCAGTCTCGACAGCCATTAGATAGGATGTCTTATGCAGTAAAAATTTGCTGAGACTCAATCAATCTTGATGATAAAATAGGCCTCAACAATGTAAACCTTCAAAGCGAGGCACATATGCAAAAGTGCATGACCTGCCTATTTACAAAGGAAAATAATCTCATACCTGCGGTTTCAAGTCCCTATGAACTATGTGGTAGGAGTGCAGTATTTCCAAGGCAGCTCCTACATGTTTTCCAAATAAGCAAAGTCAGTAACCGATTCGAAGAAAGCAACACTTGCACAATATACGAATGAAACAGAGGGAATACCCAGCTGCTGCATGAATCTTCTCGCGCTTTCTTCCCGAACTGGCCCATGCAGTCGGACATAAGACGCTAAATCTCCACCGGCACAAAACTCCAGGACCATGTATACGCAACCATTGGCCTGATGATGAACACCACACCAATTTCAATCCCATGAAATCCTCACCAGAAATGATTGCATACACAAATTTTATCTACTACACCAGTCGAAGATACATTACAAAGTCCCACCCTAAATCGGAATGTAAAGCACATACAGCTGCCGTTTAAAATGCAAAAGCTACATCTTTGATCCGTATTTACTACAAATGAAGATGATAATGGGTGCCTAAAAAATTTCATTAACTCCCACAGCAGCTTTCCAATTCCTACAAAACTAACCAAGACAGAGCAACATAAATCACACGACCGTCCATAAGACTATGACCCACGAGTTAATAAGAGCTGGGTATCTACGTAAGACCGAAGTAATCAACCTGAGACACATGAAGAAGGCGAAAGGTGTTGGGGTGATCGACGGAGGACAAGAAATCACACGACCCCCCATAAGACTATGACCCACGAGTTAATAAGAGCTGGGCATCGACGTAGAGACCGAAGTGATCAACCTGAAACACATGAAGAAGGCGAATGATGTTGGGATGATCGACGGAGGACAGGAAATCGAGCTCGCAGTCCAAGCAGCTCCTGAGATGCCCATTAAGCTTCGAGAGGTGGACTTGCTTCACCGCCACCACCTCGCCGCCGGCTCTGCGCACCGCCTTCCACACCGTCGAGAAAGACCCTTCACCGAGCTTCGACGACAGGACGTAGTCGCCCACCGCGATCACTTCGGAGAGGTTCACGGTCGCTGCTTCAGGTTCCATCAAGGTCCGAGAGAAGTGCTCGATTGTTTAGATAAAGATGACATTTTTTTTTCTCCCTTTTACAGAAAATAGTCAAATTGTACATGCTTACTCTTTTTTTTCTTACTTAATTTAAACATCTTATACATATACACATTGGAACCTTTTTCTTAAATTCATAATATCTGTAATTTCCATAATACTGAAATATTAAGCTATATATAAATTTTATTAGGAAAAACAAAAATGCTATTCACTTTTGCCCAGTCTTGGCAAACAGGCTCGAGATTGTGTATTTTTTGTGAAACGCACAAATCAATGACCAAGACCCACCATGGGTAGCTCAGTTGATTAGGGCGTACTTGAGATTGTGTGGTTAGGCGCACTGGTCCTAGGTTCGATTCCCCAGCTAAGCACTTGTGATTTAAGTGGGGGCCATGGCGGTGGGTTCTTTGTCTTAGTCTCACGAGGAATAGTCGAGGTGCGCGCAGTGGCAGGCCAGACACCTCGGTTACCAAAAAAAAAAATGACCAAGCATATGAAATATTTTTTTGAGCAAGGGTTAGGTCACATGGTACCAATTCGATGGGAGTGATCAGTTCCCAGATGAGTTGACTCTTGACTTAGATTCGAGAATGGACCCTGTAACTTTCGATTCTAAATTTTGGAACCGGGAATATAACCGGTCTGTTTCATTTGTACTCGAGAATCAGCCCACCATTTGTTTTGTGTAAAAAACTCAAATTCTTATATAATAAAATATAAAATTTGCATCATTCACTAAAAAATATATTTCCATTAAGTGATTATGACATTGCTTATTCATGATCAAGATTATTATTCGATTTTCGATAGGTGTAAAAATAATGTTTTCCCCTAAAAGAGGCCCAGAAAACTAGATTCTGCGTAGAATTGATGGTATCAGCCTTGAACCGGTCAGTGTAGACCAGTTTGGTTCGGTTCTCGAGTTGAATCAGACTCGTTCTCACCATTAGAGTCGTCGATGGTTGGTCTTAAATCAACGTGAACTTGCGTCTTTTATAAATCCCTAGAAATATGAAACTTTACACATGTGGAAAGAGGGAGGACCCAAGTTTAAATCATTAAACCCATCAAGAAGCACATCACAATGTACAAACTCCTCACAAGTAGCTCAAAGACAACATGCAAATGATTAAGATTAAGCTCTCGAGTGGGTCACTGTCTCTTAAACAGCTCTTGAAATTGGAGCCCAAATGGAAGCTGTTGTCAGTGGCCTAGATTTCCAGCACAGAGCCAACCTAAACTTCTCATATTGCACCCGATACTCCCCACTAAAGACGCTCACCAAGTACTTGGCTTGAGCCACATTGCTTGAGCTCAGAGGCACAGGCCTGAACCCCTTTAGGCAAAGCCCATCTCTCCACAGCTTCCTCTCCAATTCCTCGCACGGAAACTGCCTCACACTGTCCAAAATCCTGTTCCCCAACACCTCTTGCTCTATCACTTTGAGGCACATCTCATACCCACCTGTGAAGCTGCTCCCCATCACTAGTGAGTCAGAGAGCGCCATGTAGTGATGGAGTGCCTCGCAGAAGAACTCCACAAAGGACAAGGAAGATGAGGCCTTGGCAAAATTCAGCAGCTCTTCTTCCACTAGGACAACAATCTTTGGTGACAATGTTGTCATGCCTCCCAAGAATGTCCTCACCATTGAGAGGCTCTTGCTAGGCATGTGCAGTTGGTTAATCATGCAATTTGCTATCACCGTGTGACCTACTTGGTGGATAGTCCTGAAGTCCTCTTCTTCCTGGATTGGGAGCTGATCGAATGTGAACCTCAGGTCGATTGAGTCCGCAAACTCCTTGAGCCTCCTTCCGGTCTGTCGAATTGAAGCTTCGGTTTCCGGGTCAGTGACAATCGCAGTGATCCACAGCGAGGCGTCATCGCGTATTGCAAGGTCGACCATCAAGGGCGGCCATTGGATCCCCTCCATGATGTCGAAGTCAATGACATGGACATCCCGGTCTGCCAGGGTCGCCTCAAGGATCGCCTGGTTGGCTGTGAAGTGTGCGAACTTGATGTACGGGGAGAGCTCTTGAATCATCTGAATGGCGGAGATGGTGTTTGGCCCCCTTGAGAAAGTCCGTGGTGGCATTTCGAGAGGACTGATGATGCTCTTCCAGTGAAGGCCTTGGGTGAAAAACAAGGCCAATCTGTTAAATGGGTTGTTCCCATTTTCTTGATTGAATAGATTCTCATTCAGTTTGGAGATGATTGCAGAAACCACAGGCCAGTTCTGCGATTCGACAGCTTCAGCTCCCATCAGTAAAAGATCAGTCAGGCTGCTTTCTTCCATCAACTCTTCTTGGATTACCCTCAAAAGGGAATGTTCTTCACCCAATGAATCTTCCTCATTCGCTTCTTCTTGACCTTGAAAAATAATGTCCGAAAGCGGGTCAACTTCCATGACGCCGGTTTCGAGAACTTTTATGAGGCCGGTTTCAAGAACTTCCATGGAGTCTTGTGCCTCTGGCAGTGATGCAATCGCAATGTCGAAGTCCAACAGCTGGGTGATTTCCGACTCAATCTGGAGCAGTCTTTCCGGGTTGAAGTTGGAGGGAGAGTCTGGTAGCAGAGAAAATGAGTTTTCTGAATAGGATTGATAGAAGTTTTCGATCGAGACAAGTTCATCAATGGGGAGGTTGAATGGTTCAGGTTCCATGATAAGGAAACGAGTGGAGACAACGAACGGAACAAGCTATCTGGAGAAACTGACCTATTCTTGGCCTGATTGAGTTCAGAGACTCCTATATATATACACCAGCTTTGAGAGACCATTGGTGATTAACACCTGTCTAAGATGAGTACTACGAGTGAAGTACTTAATGTTCAAACGAGCACTCATCCATCTAGAAACAAACAAACCACATATCCTTCAAGACAAACATTTAAATTATTCACAGCTTGATCATTGTTTAAGTGGGCCTAATTAGTCTTACATCGATGACCTTTTTAATATGTTAATTTTCAGTAGCCAATCCCATGGACAGGGAAGCTCTCCTGTCCACCACTCTTTCCGAAGCGTAGGGCGACTCGATTCCGGAATTCTTGGCACGACCTGACTATCCGAGAACTAAGTGTGCTGGGGAACCTCAAAGTTGACTATTTAAATTGGTATCTAAAACGGTAAGCAAAGCATTGTTCTTTTACCATTGAAGCATCTTCATGTAGCTTGCATTCTGTCATTCATGGAAAGATGCCATTCAAGATTGAAACATTCCATCTCAAGCATGATAATGCATGTTTCCTAGACACCCAATAGGATGATTAATAAGTGTAACAAGTACCCCTAGGCCGGGTCAACCTAATTTAGTTCAGACCCACGTGATCTTAAGACTACTGTCTCACTAGTTAATTACAAACGACTCTAGGCAAGTTTTTTCCTGGGCATGATAGGAACTGATTGGTGTAATGATGACTATGCTTCCAAGTACAAAGTAGTGAAAACCAAGTGAAACAAAAGCTGTTTTGTGCAGCACATTTGATCATTTTGTTACTTTGAAGAGTGAAAATTTGGTCATATAATTGCATGCATTTGCACTGATTAGCTGCTCTACATAAATTCGAACCCCTACACCATCAAGTGCAAATATTTCATATCACCCTGGTTCTAACTTGTTTTACCCGGTTGATGTGACCATTGGAGCTATTTCGTGGACTCGGGATTTACCTATGTAAAGTGTACTTCCTCACTTCCACATTATAGAAAAATGCCGAATGCTCGAGTTCCACCTACCACCTCTCCAATAGCTGATCCTGGCTCTCGTTCTAAGGGATGAGTTGGAAATTTGCAGAAAGCAAACTAAATAGAAATTGGAAAAAAGACACCACAAGTGTCATACCTTTAATACGAAGTTCACTTGAGTGTCATAATAGTATCATAACTTTTCGATTAATCAATTGTGGTGAACGTTTGTTAAAAATTGTGACACTCAAGTAATTGATTGAAAAGTTGTGGGACTCAAGTGAACGTCGTATAAAACTCATGGCACTCAAGTGATCAATTGAAAAATTGTGGCGCTCAAATGAGTGCCGAAGGAAAGCTATGACACTAGTGCTCTTATCCCAAAAACAAATGATAGTCCGAACCAAAACCTCTTCACATGAATTCATCAAAAACATCCTTGGAGCATCTGCTCAGTAATCAAGCCCAACTTTGATTCTTGCCAATGTAAATTCAAGTGATTCCAGCAAGGCCGTGTTGGTAGGGTTCTTTTAAGGTGGAGACCCCATTGGTTAGTCGGTGGTTACTCCAATTTAATACAGCAACTTTCTAAAAGAGGACAGTTGATTGTCTTTTGTGATTAAACCAAGAAAAACATCCAGACAGATAGCAATATCCTAAGCGCATATCACGTGGATGACTTCACTTAGGTCGGGCAAAGTCCAATTATTCGAGTTTTAAAGTTCAAACTCAGACATTATAGTTCATCTTTGTTATGTGGTGCATTTTGAAACGACAGTGTAACTAAAAATATCTCGAGGATATTCTCTATTCCAAGGGATTTGTTTAACTTACAATTATTTTCTTTTTCTTATTTTGTTCTCTGATTGGTCTTCACGAAGAGGTTTGTGGCATTTTCTACAAGGAAATGAAAAGGGAAAAAACAAAAATTTCGACAAACCAAACTAAATGTGGCTGCATTGTCATTGCACCAAATTTTAACCATTATGTTCACACCACCTATAATTGTCTCTTTGCGTCACATTGCTGCACCTTCTTGGATTAGAGACAAAAACAATAAGATGCTGAAGCTACGCCAGCCTAGTTGAATTATTCGTGGCTCCACATTCTTGCAAAATTTGAAGCTTGGATCGAGATTGAGATATATTCGAGACATGTTTGAACGTGCTCAGGGTTGAGAGGAACCAGGGACTGAGAACTCAGGCTAAAGGCCAGGGCATCCGGTCAGAGCCCGTCCGCCTACCTAGAAGGGCAAACATGTATTGTACGTGTTCTAGGTGCCCGGGTGACAAATTGACTTAGCCAAACACGGGATGTAAAGCTTACTTCTTGCATGTTT